ATCAAGGCTGACTCAGACCATCTAACCAATCTTAAACTTATTTTGCATAACTTCTCTTTGGCTACTGGGCTTACAATAAACTTTGAGAAAAGCATGTTCGCCCTGATCCACGTAGACCCTCACACTGCTACGGTTATGGCATCCTCTCCAGATTGCATATTTGCTTCTTTTCCTCAAAATTACCTCGGCCTCCCTTTATCTACGCATAAGCTACGGCTTCTAGATTTCCACCCTATGATTGCCAAGGTTAATAAGCGGTTGGCCGGTTAGCAAGGACACCTTCTCTCTGCGGCCGGTAGGGCGGTTCTCGTCAAGTATGCTATTCGTGCCCTCCCCACCTACGCCATGAGTGCCATGCTTCTTCATGCTGGCACCATTCTAGAGATCGACAAACGTTGCCACGTCTTCTTTTGGGAAAGTGACGACACTGTCAATGGGGGACGGTGCAAGGTTGCTTGGGACGAGGTTTGTGCCGCAATTAGCAAAGGCGGTCTAGGTTTTCGTTGCCTACGCACCCACAACATTTGCCTCCTCCTTAAGTCGCTAAGTAAAATCCACTGTCCAGGCAACGCTTCCTGGGAGACGTGGCTTGCTAACACCAATGGCTGGGCCGGTGGGCACTATATTGGGGACTCTCATAGGTTACACACGAACGTCGGGACAGATCTAACGTTTGGTCTTTCCTTTTTTTCGCTCAATCACTCATGTCAAAATTGGCAACGGCGTCTCTACTGCCTTTTGGCCGGATCTCTGGATCGGCTCTGTAACTCTAGATGACCACTTTCCAAGTCTCTTCTCACACGCCATCAAACCGAACGTCTCAATTGCGTTCGTGCTAACCGACGAGGACCTATGACTTCCGTTACAACCACGCCTGTCCAACGCTGCTACCACCGAGCTTTAATCCTTGCATTCCCTATTAGCCACTGTTATCTTAATGCCGCAGGTACCAGATTCACGTTTACGAAGGATTAACGACAAACACCTCACTGTTGCTTATGCTTATGAAGCGGCTTTTGCCTCTTGGCCAGAGGATTTGTTCGCAAATTTCATCCGGGGGAAGAACTACGTGACTAATCGATGTAGGTTGTTTCTATGGCTAGCGCATCGAGGGCGCTTGTTCACCAACGAGCGTCGATTTCGAAGAAGTCTATCAGACTCTGCCTCCTGCCCGTTCTGCTCGAAAACTGAATCAACCTCACATGCTATTACACGGCCCAACGGTCTCCGAGGCCTGGACGGCTGTGACCCATTTTGCGACCCATTTGCATTCGATGCAATAAGAAGAAACCCTAGATCCCAAGCACTGTGTAAACCAAGGTCAGGAAGGTTGCACAAAGGAACCCAGTCAAATCATTAGAGGAAGGGAGGATCAGGAGTGATCGGCAATGGACAGAAAAAGTCACAGCAGGGGTTACCAACAGAGAGCAAAACCATGTACTACTAAGGCCTCCTTTGATTTACAAGATTTGCATAGGAATCTTACAGGATCAACACCCTCTGGAATTTCCCCTTTACGGGATCCTTTGATTCACAGGGTTTTGGAAGCGTAGGAATAGGAAACGTACAGGAATAGGATGTCTGTCCACTGAAATCCTACGTCCTGCAGCAAAATTGAGGATTTTTTTTCATGAAGTCCAACCTCATGCTTGTTTTCCTGTGAAAATGAACTAAGAAGTTCCTATAGGATTGGTTCCTGAGGAATGCAATCTTGCGAATCAAACAACATTTAAAGGAAAAATCCAAAGAGTATCGATCCTGTAAAATTCCTATGCAAATCCTGTAAATCAGAGGCCTACATGTTATTTGATTCGCAGGATTGCATTCCTCAAGAATCAATCCTATAGGAACTTCTTAGCTCATTTTCACAGGAAAACAAGCATGAGGTTGGACTTCATGGAAAAATTCTCTGTTTTGCTACCCGACGTATGATTTCAGTGGACAGTACATCCTATTCATGTACGTCTCCTATTCCTACACTTCCCAAACCCTGTGGATCAAAAGAGACCTAAGCTGGAAAGAAACATGATGTAAAAAATGAACAGAAGATGGCTCAAAAGACAAGCGAGGAAGTCACAAGGCTGCAGTTCACATAATATCAGAAGCATACATCATGCTTATACGCTTTGTGCCCATAGTTCAGGGCGAATTACACTTTCCGATTGACCAGGCAAATAATCGTATGTGTGTGTGGCCATTTTGCTGTTACACATGGATAGTAAACTAGTTGTACATAAAAAATCTCTCTGCAGAAATAGCCAAAGAGTGAAAATTCTGGCCAATTTCCCTCGAGACCCACTTGCCTAACGGAACCGTGACATCACAAATGGACTATATGCATGGTCATCCTCTATTGTAGTTTACCGAGACAAGTTACCATGAAGAGATTCTTCAAAATTGGATTATTTGTGTTTATCTTCCATGCCTGTAAGACTTTTCCAGCACAGGAACGGCAGGTCCATAAATTCTAAAACATCGATCGCTAAATGAGCCTACCAGCTTGGAAACAACTTCCTTGAAGAACATGGAAGCAACCTGTGGTAAAAAGCTTGATAAGGACGATGGAAAATAACAAAATGAAGCCACTTAATGTGTGTATATACTCATAACAAACAAGTTTTACCTGCCGATATAGTGGTGACTGAAACTTAAAATCCACTAAGAAGTAAAGGTCACATGTTCCAGGAACAGGACCAGGCTTGAATTCCCAAACGTTTATCAAATGATCGAAAAGTCCACTTTGAGACGCTGTCGTCTGCAACAGAGCAATAGAGTCAGAAGCAAAAACAATGCAACTACTCAATTCAGGAGAAAAGATGGTAAAAGTATGACAAACAAAGTACTAGTGTACCAAAGAGAACTGCCTATCGCTGTGATAAATACTGAAAGTTAAAGAGGGACACTAGATTGACTGCAACCTAGACTATCCAAGTTGATAAATAGACTTTCATCCAAGATTGACCATCCTATTTATTAGAACAAAGTGAAAGAAGCTACCAAGCTTGCTCTGGAAGGCTAGAAGTTCACACATTAATTAGAAAGCGAAGAGACAGATCTACACTTATTAGGGTGGGTGTAGATAATAACAACGCTGCTTAATCAGATAAAAAACACGTACTAGAACTGTTACAACCATATATGAGATACAACTGTATGACATGATCAGTGATACAGCATATGTATGTATTGTAATATCTATCCGTGCAAGTGAGCTGAGATTCGGCCAGTTTGTGTAGTACTAAAGTACATCTCAAGGAAGTCTGTTATCCAAGAGCAGATCAAATGTCATGACCTCAAAATCAATTGCACCTCAGTTAAAAAAATTCAATTGCACCTCAGTTAAAAAAATTCAATTGCACCTCAGTTAAAAAAATCAATTGCACCTCCAAGATTTTAGGCAAAGTACTTCTACAGTCGTGTTTATCAAATAAATCATCCCATATTTACACAAGCCATCAAAAGTTCAAGTTAAAAAAAACTCATGATAAAAATTTGGTGCATACCGTGTTATGTTCGCCTAGGTTGATTTTAAATGGATGATGTGATCTCAGGTTTATAACACTGCAATGACAGTTTCACACAATATATAATGTCCAGGTGAATAGAATATCTAAGATATGAGTTGACAACAATATCTGTTCATATTGGCTAGTTCAAGTGTGAATTTGGTAATAACTCAGAAATGCTTAAGTTTATTCACAAGCGGGTTAATTCCATCCCAGCCAAAACCGGCAAACAACAGTTAGTATTAGTTCATTTTCTTTCTCTGCCTGGGATACAAGCAGTAAAGCTAGTTAGATACCGTATTTGAGGGTATGCAACGATTTTGTCTTGTTGGGGAAACTGTTGAAGAATCTACCAACACTATCTGCAACATAATAAGTGTTTGCTACTTATAGTTCAGCTACAATGATATCATGTCTGGCCACACAAGAGTCTGGGCGAGTGGGCGTATTAACAAAATGAATATAAACATACAACCTTAATACAAGAGGTTGAAGAATTTATAAATAATAAAATGAATATGAACAAATAACCTTAGGATTAGCTCCTGGGAAAAATAATACTGCCGGTAAAAGACTAGATTAGAAGTGTTATATTCAGCGGATCCAAGGAAGTGATGAACCAATTTCTTACGAGTGACAGCAATACTCCCTTGGAAAAGTATTGCAGCTCACCGTGATGAATGATCTAAATCATAATGGTGGTTTTGCAATTACAAAACGAATAGATAGCTACCACATATGTCATGAATATGATTGAACTTGCAATACAGCTCACATTAGAACAACTTTTATCCCCGTTAGTATTTTTTTCTTATTCTACAATCCTTTGAGAATCAATGATATCTGATTAGGTGATAACAATTGAATTGTCTGCCTTCATACTACTACATTATCCTATCAGAGCGACGACATACACAAATCTCACCTTGATATACTTGGGCTTCTCCATCTCCACATGAGAGACATAGCTTTCAACAAAGAACTTGAATCCAATTTCGAGCTCGGCATCAAACGAGCCGTTGTCATACCGTCTAATAACCCTGGACCGCTGGCACCAGGGCACAAAATCCTCGTAGAGGTCCACAGCCGCGACGACGGCATACATCTGCTCCGGCGAGTACCTAGGACGACACAGCCACCGGAATCAATCATTTCAGAAGGCAGTCACCTGAAGAGCACCCCAAGAGCAAGCGGGCCATCGTTGATATATTAATTACCCCATCACGCGCCTCTCCTCGTAGACCTTGGAGAGGACACTCCCCTCCTCCCCGTCGCCGCACCCGAGGAAGCTCCTCGTCTGCGCGCCCGCGGGCCAGCCCGCGCCCAACCGGCGCGGCTCGCCGCGCGCCGGCGGATCGGCCCAGCGGCCGACCCTGCCGCGGCTGCCGCCTAGCCCGGCCAGCGTGGTCGCGCACCTGGCATTGGCGAGCGCCTCCCCCCTGCCGCACTCGCCCTCGGCGAACCCGCGCAGGAGGGCCAGCCCCCTCCTCCGCAGCACCGACCGCGCGCACGGCAGCATCGTTGGAGGCCTCCAGGCGTGATCCGGCCGCGGGGGAACCCTAGATTCGGGGACCGGTGGTGCGGTTGGCGGCGTCGCCGGAGGAGGCCGTGGAGGGATCGGAGGTGGGGCGAGAGGCGTGGGGGAGCGGAGCTCCTAGGTTGCGGGGTCAATCGGATTTGGGGAGAGGTGGAGCGGCCGGTATGGGGAGGGAGGACAGCGGGGTGGGCGGGCGCGCGTGGGGTGGGGGGATGCGTGGCTGGCTGTGGTTGGTGCCTGCGATCTGGCGCGACCAGAAAAGAAAAGAAAACGTCGGAGCTGGCGAAGACTCGTCGAGGCTGTGCCGTCGGATGATCGGTACGGGCGGCGGCACGAGTATCATGCCCGGGTCGGGCCGGTGGACGGCGGTTGCGTACTTGCGTGTGCTCGCCTAATTCCAGATTTGACCAACGACCATGCCGCGGAAGGGTTTCCCCGAGGAAGCTTCTTTCATGTCTAAAAAATGGACCGTAAAATAAACAGGTACACCCTCGGAAAACACTGCACCCAAATTGAAAAAATAATTTAGAGAATATTAAAAAAGGAAAAAGATTCTGAAACTTTTTGAAATCAAACATGATTAAACATTACACCGGTGTGAAAAGTTTCGCGAAGGAATATCATCGACCGACTCCAGGGCCAAGAAAACAAATTTGAGATTATAAAAAACGTGAATAGTAATTTTAATACAGTGTCGGTTTTGTTCTTTCTTCGCCCAGAATACCACGGGAGTCATTCCTCCTCGAAACCTTTCCGAAAATTTTATGCTAGACCATATTTCTTCGCCCAGAATACCACGGGAATTTCTTCGCCCAGAATACCACGGTTATGCTAGACCGTATTTGTTACAGAAAAGTTTCAAAAATTCTTGACACTTTTTATTTTTTCTAGATTCGGGTGCATTGGTCTCCATGTTCCAAAGATCCGTGTCACGTACTCCCTTCGTCTTTATTTACTTTGCCTATAAAATGTATCTGAAGTCAATTCTTATAAAGTTTGACCAATTTTAGAAAAAAACATTTACTAAATGAAATCAATATCATTAGATGCGTATGAAATTAATTTTCATATTGTATAACTTCAGTATTGTAGATGTTGATATTCTTTAATACTCCTTCTAATTCATATACATCCGTATCTAGACAAATTTAAGACAAATAATATAGATCAGAGGGAGTATAAATTTGGTCCCACTTTGCATGACAAGTTGTGAATATGTTTGGACTGATCACATGGCAATTTTAAGAGGAGAGGGGGAGGGGTTACAACATGCCAAAATTTTGAATTATTTTGTTTCTTACACCATGGCAAAAAATAGAAAAATATATATAATAGTCACATGGCAATTTTTGTGAACATGTGTCGTGCAGGACATGGCAAGTTGTGAAAATGTTCCTTTTTGCTGAAATTCAGATCCCATGGCAATTTAATTTCAGAGCCATAGCAAATTGTTTTCCTAGAACATAACAAGTTTTTTCAGGCCATGGCAAATTCCTTTGCTGGACCATGGACTAGTTTTACATCCATGGCATATTTCAGAGCCATGGAAAATTAAAGTTTACGAGCCATGGAAAAATTAGTATGTATAACATGGCAACTCTCTTGATTTCTGTAACTACATATGCTTTTTTATACGCATGAAATCATGTATACGTGGTAGTTTATTACTCCCTCTTAAAAAAAATATAAGACGAAAAGTTTCATCTTATATTTGTTTACAGAGGGAGTACCTATAAGAATAGCAACTTTTGTGGGTATTTTTATCATCTAAACATGTTGAATTACACATTATGTGTTTTCTTGAATCATGGGTTGCGTGGTAGTTTTATTTAAAAAGGAATGGCAACTTTTGTATGATTTTTACCTAATTAAGTTGGGTGCAATACTTTTTTAAGGCCTGGTTTTTATGGTGCAAAAGCTGGACCTCTTATGAGCCATTTTTACT